AGACAGCAGGGACATGTAGAGAACAGAGCTGGGCTTCACTTCTCTCCACTGCTCCTGTGCCATGTGTCACTTGCTGTGTTTAGCTGGAAGGGATTCACTGCTCTGTCTCTGCAGCTCCTCCAGCACACCCTTCACTTCAGTCTGCTACATGCACACTCACAGTGTGATCGTCACACGGGCTCACATGGACCTTGTTGGAGTAGCTGGGCTCTTGCTCACAGTTTGGTGCAATGCAAAGCTCTCAGCTTCAGTCTGTGCCTTTCATGTAACCCTTGTTTTTAATGATCAGTTAGAAGGTGAAGACGTTTTGTTCCTGCTAGAGCTGATGGGAGGATAGTTTTGGTGCGATGGTGTAGTATGGGGTGTCTCTCATATCTTAAGTGCAGTATTTCCCTCTGTTCTCTGTCCTCTGGTCCCTGTCATGCAGATTCTCTCTGTTCCTGCTCTAATCTGTTTGTTTGCTCTCAGATTTACTATTGCTGCACAAACTGCCTCTGTGCTTTCCAGACTTCTGCTCTCATTTCTGCTCTTTCTCTTAGATTTTGTGAAATGACCCTGTCAAACGTCTCCAACTAATAGAATGCCAGCAATGTTGTTGACCAATGACATCATCACTCCCTCATTACAGGCGTGTTTGCTTTACTGCTCACACCGTCGCCATCGCTACTGTTTAACCAGGTTCAGCAAATTACTTTCAATTCACTTTCTCTTATCTGTCTTCTCCAGGTGTGTAAGCGCATGGACATGATCTGCCAGCGTGTTCTCAATCAGGGCTTCCTAAAGGTGGAGCGTTACCACAGTCTGTGTCAGAGGCAAGTTAAAGCCCAACTACCCAGGTCAGTGTTACACCAGCATGAGCTCTGCAGATAACAACAATTGTTCAGTCTTGTTTTAGCCACACTCACTGTGAAATAACATAATTTGTCTCGGAAGGGACAATTTAAAGTCTGGTGTCAGTCTTCGGCCCCCTTGTTGTTAGTGATGGTGTTGAAGGGCTCAGTGGAAGAATGTCTTGATAAAGGTTGATAATATGAAGGAAATGTACCTCCTTATTAAAGTATTCAAAATGAGATTACTACATGATATGAATGATACAGGCAGACAGCCTGGCACTGGGTTTGCATCTTGTGTGCGTAGGCTGTGTAGTAAGAGTGTGAGTCAGCAGCAGAACAGCAGCAGCCCCAGTCCTCCAGACTCATTCCAGCCACAGCACTGCTCAGAGCACAGACTTCAAAGGTCCAGTGTGTAAGATTTAGGTGAAAGAATCTATTGTCAGAAACTTAATGTAGAATAATTCTCATGATGTTTTCACTAGTTCATTTCATCTAAATTGTATGCATTGTAGTTTTCTTTAACCCAGAAAAGGCTCTTTATATTTAAATACTTTATATTTACATTGAGGGGGTCCTCTCAACAGAGGCCGTCATGTTTTTAACATTAGTCCAGACTGGACAAACTAAACACCTTTTGAGTTTTTATGACAACTGAAGGCTACCACAGTATCTTTTTCATGTTTGGAAGGAGAGGGTGAGGGGAGTTCAGCTGCAACATGCAATTTCAACACTAGATATCACTAAATTCTACACACACTTTAAGGCTCAGAGCTAACAGCCCAATACTGCTTTCAAACTTACATGAGTAGAGCAAAGTTGAAATTTAGCCTGTGTAGCAGCTGTGCCAAATGACAGTGAAGCTGTACCTATTTCATCGGACATACACAAGACAGGCCACTGAAAGCTAATCATGAGTGGTGTGACTCTCCAAAAAGATTCAGATACACTGGTTCAGGGGATGTCTGCAAAACTAGAGCCTCAACCTATAACCTTTTCAACCCAAAACCAGCTCCAACTGATTGATTCCACTAAACTGACAGAAGTTCACTTAATGTGAGGCTCTTCAGAAACTTTAAAGAATATTTTAAATGTGCATGACTAAATTATAAAGATAATATGTTTTCACTATCAACTGTCTAAATGGCTAAGAATAAAAACTGCACTGGTGCTCTCGATCAGGAGGGAGAGCAGCTTGATCCCAGTCTCTCACATTCCGCATGCCAAAGTGTTCTTGAGCAAGATACCTGACCTCACATTACCTGACTGTGTGTGTCTGTGTGTAAATGTAAGCGACTGAATGGCAAGGACTGTACTGTAAAAGCTCTCTGAGGGCTCATCAAGACTAGCAAAATGCTATATAAAAACAGACCATATAACATTTTAACTTTTACTCATCTCAACAAGCCCCGACTGTGTTAAATATAATATATATAATATATATGTGTTCTTGGATTTCTAATTGTGCAAAGGTTGAACTCACAGTATGGTCAGCTAAAGCTCTGTAGTCAGGTTCTATCATACCTTTTGATCATGTTTGGTCAATTGTCTTGTCTTCACCATAGTGTTTATAATGAATTGTCTGCAGGCGAGAGTCAGAGAGGAGAAACCATTCACTGGCCCGTCATGCTGATATCCTGGCTGCCGTGGAAACGCGCCTCTCTCTGCTCAACATGACCTTCATGAAATATGTCGACTCCAACCTCTGCTGCTTCATCCCTGGAAAGGTTAGCTCAGCTGACTGTCCACAAAACAGCAGCAACATTCTGTAAAGAGAGGGCCCGTATGAATACCAAATTAATAGGCTTCCTCACACTAATCCCTGTTTGGATTTATGCCATGATGTGCTGTCTTCTTTAAATATTCAGGTTGTACTTTAAGTGTTGTACCTGTCTAAATTGTGATCTTTCCCAAAATTATGTTGCGTGAGGTTTCATTTGTCAGATGTTGGGGCGATGTTCCATCTTTCCATTTCCACCTGCCCCTGCAAGTTCATGTTTCCCTCCAGCTCTCCATAGTAATCTGATCATCTATTATAGAAACCACCTTCCATGTACTTCAGACCTAAAACTGGTTCAATGTGTTTTGATGATTAAATATAAAATCAACAATCAATATGTAAGAAGGAAAAGGTGGCATGAGAGCTACTGGTGTCCCTCAGACTATTGGTGCTCATGATAAGGAATATACGTAAAATAAAAAAACTTTTAGGATAACATCTGTCCAGAGAATAATGGCATGAAGAATCCAGGTCCAGCCACTCATACAGTGGTTTGAAAAATGTAAAAGGCCTTTATTTATATGAGCTTATGCCTTCTCCAGGGTGTACTGACACACAAAGACAGAGTCAGCAGTTAGCGTCACTACAGTGTGCAGGGTGATCAATCATGGAAGGAAAACTCCTCCTCACTGGTTATTTCTTATTGGCTGTAGCTCCCATACATGGTCAGCAGAGGGCCCAGTCAGATTACCAGGGCTGTACAAATTGTTTCAGTGTATACTTTTTCTGATTTCTTGAATTATTTGCTCATCATGTGTTGTGTGTTATCAGGTGATAGATGAGATTTATCGTGTGCTACGCTATGTGAACTCCACTCGTGCCCCCCAGCGAGCTCATGAGGTTCTTCAGGAGCTGAGGGATATCTCCTCCATGGCCATGGAGTACTTTGATGAGAAGATCGTCCCCATCCTGAAGAAGAAGCTGCCAGGTGCTGATCTGTCTGGCCGTCTCATCGGGTCTACACCAGGTAACAAACATGTGTTTCTCCTGGCTCATTAACGTAGGCCTCAATATTTAAACACAGTGGTATGTGATAATATGACAATTTCAAGTCACTTCATTCTATTGTGGCAGAACATTGTCAAACCAGAATACCTGGAAATACAGATTTAAACACTTGTGTCTCAGTACACCGCACTGGGTGTACATTTGACATTAGTACCAATATGAATGACTATAGCGTTAATGTCCAGGTACCAATGAAATTTCCAACTAAAATGAGGAGTTGGTTGATTGTTTGGAGTATTTCTCACTTAAAAGACAGAGTTGCCTGAATGCTTGCATCCCCGATACTCATGTACATGTAGACCTGCAGGGGTGGCTGTGACTTACACGGTAGAGAGGGTTGTCCACTGACCTGAAGGTGTGTGGTGAGCTTCATGTTCACCTAAAACTTAAGAAAGGAGATAAAATGTGGCCTTAGTGATTTTTGACTGAGACGTTGTTGCTGTCGGACTTTTTGAGTGTTTCTGAAACTGCTGATCTGGGATTTTCTCTCACATCCGTCTTCAGAGTTTTTCTCCTGAGTGGAGCCTTGTTTTATCTTTTTTGTGCATCAGTAAAATACCCCTGACACTGTCCTTTTCCATCAGTGGCAGGTCCATCTACCTCCCTGACCACCATGTCCCTGCTGGCCAAGAACACACCATCCCGCTCTGAGATGACCAAGGTGCAGCAGCAGGTGAAGGTGAATGGGGCGTCCATGACAGTAATGCGGAGGGAGATGCAAGAAATTCGTGTCAAACAGCTGGAGCAGCAGAAGCAGCTGCAGGACCAGGAGCAGAAGCTGCTGGAACAGACCCAGGTGATTGGTGAACAGAACGCCCGGCTTGCGGAGCTGGAGCACAAGCTCCGTGAACTGATGGACAGTAGCGCCGCTGCAATTGGAGGACCCAGGCCCAACACAGCCGTCCCCTCCACATCTAGCAGCGTGTCTTCAACTGTTGCCAGTACGTCTGGTACTCTGCCGGCAAGTGGCAGCGTGGCTGCAGTCTCGATACCAGTAGAGCCAGAGGGTCAGGGAGGGTCATCACTCAAACGCACCAGAAAGAACCTGGACCTTCCACGGCAGTCGAAACGGCTGCGCAGCAAGAAATAAGAGACTATGTGTGTCATTTAGTTAAGTTTTGTTTTTGGTTTCAACATCTGACTGATCACACCTTATTCCCAATCCCTTGCGTCACCAACAGTCATTACCTGTTCGGCCTGTCAGATGAGTCACAAATAGAAATATCCCTGTATGCTTTACCAGTGTTATCTCTTTTTTGTGGTATTGGATTTGAGAATAGTGTTAAATACGTTGCTTAAAACAATGAGCCCACAGCTTCATCACGACTTTGCACACCGTTGACAGGGTCAACATTAAATTTTAATTTACTGTTACTGTCTTTTGTTTTTCTATATTTCTCTTGTTAACACATTGCATGAAAACCCCCACAGCAACAGGTTGATGTGTCCTTCAACACTTTCTGATTTCCCCTTCCACCTGTGGCTTTCAGCTCCGAGCCCATTGGTTCATACTGAAGACGTGAATCTCATAAATATATAGTCAATTTAAAAAGTTCCAAACACAGCTGCACGCTGTAGTATTTATCAAACAAACAGGAGCAAATGGTGTGAGAGTTAGATGATAGTAATGAAGGAACATGTGACCCAATGCAGCAATGTGGCTATCTTTTGTTTTTAGGGCACAGAGGATTATGATGTATCATGCTTTAGACACATACAGTAGTTGTTAGTAGGATCAGTTCAGCGTTTTTTTCAGTCTAAACATGGGAGTTGAGAATATCTCCAAACTTACAAGGATTGTTTGAGTTGTCATCAAGACTAGAAAAGCGCTCATAAATACAAACCATTTGTTAGTCTCAGCTATATCAGGGGGTGGGCAGGAAGTAGGCCTACGCAGCAAGACTGTCTATTGAAGATCACATTGAAATTACTGCACAGATTTTAATTGTAGATGCTTTTCCAAGAAGCTTGTATGTTTATGTTCTGGTATTACAGAGCAGAAATTCAGATGTTCTGTGAAAAAACACAAGTGACAATGTGCATGAATAATCCAAAATACTACTTATAATGCTGGAACCAAATTGAAGTGATTATAGGTAATAATTGATGTCCCTTTCATTTTCTCATGAGGAAGTCTGCATCCATAAACATTTATTTCATTCACATTTGCTTTTTCCTGACTTGAATATGTGCAATAACAATCATCTAAATAGTATGTAGTTATATTCCTTTCCAGTTGCTTCACTATTCTATTCAAAATTGCTGCTCAGACCTTTCCAATTCAATCTGATCAGTTTATGAATCCCCCTTCAAGGAAGGATGTGGTCTTACAGAAGGAAAAGGCAGCGTTCAGGTAGCATTAGTCAGTGTCACCTGTCGACTGAAGCCCTCTCTGCTTTGCAGGGCCTAACAGAGAGGTAAATGTTCTTTATAAGGGGATTGCATTTCCAAGATATCATTGTTTGAAATGTAGCTGTGGCTCTGCTTTGTGTGAGAATAGTTTCTTCAAAAGATGTACAGCGAGAGCAGACCCTTTATAGCTTCACTTTCTCATTAGAAGTTACTGTATGTGGAGAAAGAAACTATATGACTACAGTCCAATGGCAACATAATGTTTAGCATCTGTCCTTTAAGGATCATACCGGTGTTTTTACGTATTTCATCCCATATTCTGCAATTATTGTACTGCTCAATACAGCTTAACATTTTGCAAAGAACAAGGAGTGTTACTGTTTTTTTGAATGTGGTCTTTCTACTTTCCAAGCTGTTGATTTCTACTGATTTCACTGCAGAAACTTGCATCCCATGACTTGCCTTAAGTTTTTCAAACTGTAAAAAAAACGGACAGGTGGTCAAAACTAATCAAATTTGTCCCCTTTTTGACCCTGTAGTTGCACAATCATAGCTGATTCTGTACCAACTATCCTTGAAATGAACATATACTACCCTTTTTCCACAGCCATGTTTCTGCAGTAGCCTGGAGTGGACAAACTTAACAAATAAGTCTATTTGTGTTGCCTGGAGGGCACCATAGGTTCTTCTACACAATTGGAAGGAGGGGTAGTAAGTTGAATGCAATATACATATTCACCGCTAGATTTCCTAAACACCGAATCTTTAAGCAGTATATATATTTTAAGTTACATTGTAACACGTACTTTGAAACTGAAGGTTGAAATCGTCCTTTTGTTATCAGTGTAAATGAACCTATGACTGGTTTGCAGTTACAGATGAGGCTTGCTTGTGCACAGCAGAATAGCTCAGAGTAACGAGTTTCCTAAGTGGTTAAGGAAACATTGTCTTAGTGCCCTGGCAGTGGCACTCTTCCCCTCTCCTGTACAAACTTGGCTATTGCCTTGTGAGGTTAAATTAGCTGTGAGCCCATATTGTGGCTTCACTTTCCTCTTCTTTGTTTGAAGCTTTTCTGTTGTTTGGATGGCCTGAAACCCTCATGGCATGAACCTTTGGAAATGCAGGTCACATCTTGGGGGTATTATGACACTCGGCAGCAAAACACAACAAAAGGTGTAATCTAGTGGCTTAATTTGAGACTACGTCTCAGTTTAGAAAATTGTACTGTAATCTTTCATGTACTTAAAAGTGTAGATGTGGATTATTTCATGTATGTATACAAAGAAAACAATCTTTTGAGTTGGCCAACTTGGTGCTAACTACAGTTTTGTTGTAAACATTACTGTTACAAATGTACAATTCAAACCTATTAAAACTCAGCTTATCAACTTATCCAAGTGTTTACACCAATCACAAGCTCTACTTTTATAGGTAATGTTCTGCGTCACATCATGGTTTCATTTAGAATGTAGTATTTGATTTAACTTTTTTGCAATTTCGGTTTGAAGTGACTTTGGAACTGCACTTTACAGCAGGACTGTCTAAAGCCACGCCAGCAGCAACATGAGACTGCTGTTGCTTTTAGCTAAATGTTAATGTGATGCAGAGGGACTAACCATATTAATTGACCTGTTCCACATTCAAATCTCTACCATTCATTCCATAGGATGACAATGTTGCAATAGATTCTCCCTCCCTGGTAACCACACAGATCTTCCAAACTCTACTTGGTGTGTACCAGGCAGCTTTTTTGTGCTAGATATTTTGACACTTCAGGGTCAACTAGCTGTAAGCACATCACTTCTTAAATCTTATTTCCTGTGTCACTTGTTCTAGCTAAAACAAAGAGGAACACTGAATTAAAAACTAGAATGAGTGTAAGGCACAATCCACAGATAGCACCCTTCCTTCCAAGTTCACATTGTCTGCATTCCAGTGTGTGAGAATATTCTTCAACATACATTTAGTGTTTCAGGAACAGCAATGAAAGAACGTAACCCCATCTTCACATGCCGTTAAAATACATTCTATTTCATATGTGTTCCAACCCCTAACAGGTTTTGCTATGAATTGCTCTGCAACCTGAGACATCTGCACTCATGGCCTGAACAGGGAGTAGCGACTACATATTGTGTCCCCTATAAAAACCCAGCGAACAGTGTGCAGGGGGGGCAGTGTGCCTTCAGTCTGTGGACCAAGTTGAACATGTACATCCTCTGATAAACTAAGGCAATGGTCAGCAACTAGGAGAAAGCCCCAAGTTAAAATCGCCACCAGATGATATTATTTTAATTATTGTTATTTCAACATTAATGGTTACTTTATTGTCTGTGTCTGTCTGCAAGATTATGCAAAAACTACTATATGGATTATCATTAAACTACTTGTTATTTTTTTACCTCCAACCCCCCACTATGCTTTCTGACATCAATTAGCATTATTTTCAGATCCTCCGTTAGAGAATTAGAGGAGCCATGGAGTGTTACCACAAGGTTTGAAGAATCAGAGTTTGTCATTGACTAAAACTTCTTAATTCTTGACCTGCCTAACAAGCCAACAAGGGAGTTTTTCCTCTCCAGTTGCCAAAGTGCTGCTCATTGTGGGAACTGTTGGGTTTCTCTATATTAATAAGATTTTAAGGTCTTCATTCTATGTAAAGTGCCTTGAGATAATGTATATTATGATTTTTCGCTAATGGAGGCCGAAGGAGCTAATGGAGTTACAAGGAGAAAGATTTTGCGCATAATGATGAAATCAAAAACATCTTGCATTTACATTTGAATTAAGCGTTGGTTCCTTTGGTGCAGGGGTTGAATTAAATATTGAGTTTACCCAAATTTTGCTCACAATTTTTTCCTTTTTCTAGACTAAAATTGTGGATTTCTGTACTTTGAGACTAACAGTGAATTCCTTTGACAGTAATTGTCTTTGTTTTCCATATCACAAACTCCCAGTTGTGCCAGTTAGGCTTGATGAGATCCCTCAGAGCCTCATTTGCAGAGACAATATAATCCTTTGTTGAACATACAGCTTGGGGTTGTTGTTGATGAATATTCTCAGGCTGTTGCATGTCACTCTCCCTCTGATGACACTTGCAACCTCTGTGCATTTACAAGTATACAGTTTTATTTATAAAGCACCTTTCATATACAGGTAGTGCAAAGATGCTTTTATCAAAAGTGACTTTCAATTATTGCAGTCAACATCTATGAGGGGCCATTCAGGGTTCAGCATCTGGCCTCTGCCAGGACTGGTTGGGGTGATGGAGAAAGAACAAGTAATATAGGGGAACAAAAGGAAATAAAGGGGGTGGGGTTGAGTCACAGTGTCAGGTCAAGGGCTTGAATCCAGCCCGGGAATCTCCACATGGACGTTCGCATGGTCTTCCAAGGGTGCGGTGGTCCCCCCGGGCACTCCTGCCTCCCTCATGGTCCAACATGCGCAGTAGTAGGACCCATGGCTCCACAGGTGGGAGGTCCTCAGGTGAGAGTGCTGGTGGTTGCGTGACCCTCCTTGGTGACTAAAAGTTCGACCACCCATTCTACTCTAGGCACCACAAGGAGTCCAGAGTTTGTGGTCTGTGGGGGCTCTAAGGGGTTAAGAGCTCTTTAATATATGATGGGGCCTGATTGTTGAGGGCCTTGTAAGTCAGTAGGAGGATTTTGAACTCTATCCTCTGTTGAACAGGGAGCCAGTGAAGTGAAGCTAAGACATGAGTAATGTGATCCCCTCTTCTGTTTCCTGTCAGTACTCGTGCAGCAGCGTTCTGCACTAGCCGAAGGTTTCTTAAGGATCTGCTGGGACACCCTGATAATAAAGAGTTGCAGTAGTGTAGCCTAGACGTAATAAAGGCAATATAGATATGATACAATATAGTATCTATATAATGATCGTTTGGAACAGTAAGGTTGGCATTAAAACCAGACGTTGCATTTAGTTGTCACTTTGGAGCAATAGTATGAACTCGTAGGGGTGAAAAGAAGGACGGACGTTACCTAACACTGTGCGGTTGATGGGCCTGGCCTAGCGGGAGGAGGAGCTGCGCCCCGGGGGCTGAGCTCCCTGATGTCTGGGCAGGTCTACCAGCCAGGGCCGCGGTCTCATGTGAAGAGGGAGGAGGCGCAGAACATACACACAGTTTGTTTTCTCAAGCGACCTTGTGATTCTTATATACTTGTTTCTTAAAGTGTACACTTTCAAACAGCCATCGAACAGTAAAGATGGGCAACCGGGTCGCCCGTGAGGACTACGAATGGGTGTATACGGACCAGCCCCATGCCGACAGGAGGAAAGCGATCCTGGGTGAGTTAGCTTGTTCTTTAGCTACTTTTGGATTAACACGTCGTTAGTTTCATTTAGAATCAACGGAGCTAATGTATCCGAGTGGCTACGTTTACTACGTGTGCACGAGTTAAACATGTGTCGGTGTCCGTGGTGTTCAGCAGACCGGTTTACTTTTGTAACCAAGCTAACGGTTCCATATCCGCCTGTGTGTCCGCCACAGTCCCCGCTCTCTGGCCGCTGTGAGCAGTTTACGGCCTCAGTATCACGTGAAATGTGCATAATGGCTGTTAACCAGTCGGCTGTTGTATTAGTTCAGTGTTACACGCTAACAACGTTAGCAGGGCATCGCCACTCCCCGACATGGCACAACAGGAAAGTTCCGGTAACGGTTCACGTCCTGTTCTCTATGGGCTCAGATTAACACCGTCACCAATAGGACCGGGAGCTGAGTTATTCAACCAGTCATTTGAACTCTTGGTGTTCTACGTAGGCCCAACTACTAACCAATGGATTGATTGATTAATCAGCAGATAATGACAGTAGTCCTTAATTGCATCCACAACAACATGTGTAATATACAGCCCAACATCTTTACCTTCTTCAGTAACCTGAAGACTTCCACTAAACGTCACTGTCAGCTCTTAATCTATATTGATTAATGGACATTAAAGGTTCAGTGTGTAGAATTTTGTTAGTGTTGAAATTACATGTTGCAGCTGAACACCCCTCACCTCACCCTCTGCTTCCAAACATGAAAAAGAACCTGTGGTAGGCTCAAATTGTCATAAAAACTCAAAAGGTGTTCAGTTTGTCCAGTCTGGACTAATGTAAAAAACATGGCCTCCGTAGAGAGGGTCCCCTCGATGTAAACATTCACGTATTAAATATAAAGGGCTTTTTCTGGGGTCAAGAAAACTACAATTCATACAATTTAGATGAAATGAACAAGTGAAAACATCATGAGGATTATTCTACATTACATTTCTGCCAATAGTTTCCTCTTACCTAAATTTTACACACTGGACCTTTAACATGGACCACAGGTAATGTAACATGGACATTTGATGATTGAAATGTGACATTTGCCTTGTGGCTCTGTGAAGCATGATTCTGAATTTAAGTGGCAGCATATTATGCTCCTTTTGTTGAGGCAAACACTAAAGGCCTCCTTTGTCTCTAAAGTGGCCTTTTCTGCCTCAGGCGCCTTGAGCCTGGATCTAGTTTGGGATGGTTGAGGATGTTAAAGTCTGTAGGCTAAAGCTTTTGTGCCTCCGCTGTCTTCGTACTAGTCAGCACAAAGTACAGTTGATGTATTGAGAATGAGACCAGAGCCATGGGTGAAGATACCCACTGACCTCAGAGCAGTTTGAATTATTCAGTATCAGTAAGACTCGGTGATGGCTACACCACTGATTAGTACGGCTGTTGTTTCTACAGAGGTTGAACAAACTATCTGAAAATTCAGAAACTGAGTTTATATACTGCTGAGCATGAAAACTGCCAAACTTAACTTGTTCAAGATCTCATATTTTGTTTGTTTTACTCTTTTACGCTTGCCCAGTGTTTGTAAAGAGTTTAGTTGTGTGCAGTCACATGCCTCAGGGCACTCACTGAGGCCTACGATTACAAAGGTGGGGGTGGGCGACACTTCTATTGTCTTCCTACATTTTAGGCAGACACATTTATGTTGTCAGGAACACTTCATATTTTCTGAAAGCCAATTCATTTTGAATTGGCTGAGCAGCTTAATATTGAGCCCTGACGTAGTCACAGAGAGAAAAAGTTATATATCAAGGCCAGGTTTTACTACACTGGTTGCTTGAAATACTATGCTACTTCAAGTTACAATTAATTTCCTTGTTTTGATTAATCCAAAAACAAATCCTTCCTTTTTCACAAGTTTCATACTGGTCTGACAAAAATGATTATTTCAATATCCATATAACTACCAGTGACAATCCAAATTGGACATTTGAACATTCTGCATTTTACATGTTGGGAATCAATGATGGTTGTTCAGCCGTTTCATTTTGAATGAAGGAGTTCAAGAACCATGTGCATCTCCCTCCCTTCTTCTCCAATGTTAATGACATCCAGTGTAAAGGTCAGTGATTTGACCATGATCAGGGACTTTAAACAAACCAACTTATCAGCTGATGTCTTATCAACGCCTGACTGTTTAAACAGCCAGCCATAGTTGACACATTGGTAAATGGACTGAATGTCTATATTAATGAATCACGCATTCTCACACACAGTTGAAAGTATCAGTATATTACCCTAACACACAGAGATACACTGACTGGAGCATTAGTGGACAACATGCTCTTCTTCCTGAGCCTCAGCTGCATGCATTGTGTTGGTAATATTCAACCAAATCAAATAAATGTGTAAAATAAGTCAAATTGGAACCTATTGAATTGAAATGTAATTGTTTTGACAAATAAGAGACAATACTCATTTCTAAAAAAATACAGTGGTGTATAGGACATAACACATGAAACTGAATCAATAAAAAAACAAGATAAAGAGTTGTATTTCAAGATCATGTAAGAAAGTTCCAGTGGAGATTAGAGTTTGTTTCCTAGCAGCTGTGTAGTTTCCTCTGGAATTCAGCTTAGATCAAGGCGCAGTAAGAACATATGACCCCTGGTGTGATGCAGAGTTTAGTACATGTTGAAATATCTAATTCAGCTCTGACTGCTGACTGCCTGTGTGCAGTCAGAAGAAGGTGCAGGTCTGTATTCAATGAAAGGCTGATGCAGAGAGGCTAACATGAGAATGATGTTAGAGCTATGTTGAAGGTCAGCTGTTTGCTCTCAACCTGGAACCTGCTTTCCCAATGACTTGCTCAATAAACAAACAAACAAACTCACGGCTTGCTTGCATGGACTTGTGTACGAAAGCAAGGCCTTGCAACAGCAGTGTAAAACATGCCTGTTACTGCTGCAAATGTTTGACAGAATCCTGATCTATGAAGAATCAAGGCTGAACCAGTGGCTTCACATGTTCACTGGTTTAGATATTGGCCTGACACAAAGAAGCACCATTAAAACGTTTTCCACCTGGCTGCCACTCACACAGAGGAATTAGAATTCTGTGGGATACAGTTCACACTGGTTAAGAAATTATTTACAAAAGCCTTTAAATCTTTTACCTTACCAGTGTGTTGGCTTACCTTAGCATGTGGAAAAGACCTGGAGCTATTTGACTTCTTTAGCTAGTCACCTGAAATGTACTTACACGTGATAGCTTCCAACCAGTGATTAAGATAACAAACATTTGATAAAAGGATTTACTGGATAGTTTCAGTCTATAGGTGAGAGTCATTATCGGTCTCATGGTCAGGGACTTGGTTTCTCTTTGATTCTCTGTTATATTCCAAGGCGGTTAAGTTTAAGCAGCTTGTGGCTCTTGAAATTTAGGAGAGGATAGGTGAGTTTTCAGAATAGACTCTTAACCATAAGGGAGCGAGGGACATATTTAATGGACACATCTAGTTACATAAGCCTTGTACCACCAATGTTTCACCCCAAAAAATACATGTTTAATAAACAATGTAGGTGCATCAACCCATTTTCTGTGTTGATTTTACATTACCATGTTTAATGGAAACATTCATTGAACTCCTTCATGTAAATGTGTGTTACTGGTTACTAAGTTTTGCATTCTTGTTTTTTTTGACAGCTAAATATCCAGAAATCAAGTCGTTGATGGGTCCTGACCCGAGGCTGAAATGGATTGTGTGCATGATGGTGGTGATACAGTTTTTAGCTTTCTACCTGGTCAAAGACCTGGACTGGAAATGGGTTTTGTTTTGGACATATGCCTTTGGCAGCTGTATCAATCATTCAATGACCCTTGCTATTCATGAAATCTCCCACAACACGGCCTTTGGAAACAACAAGGCTACGTGGAATCGCTACTTTGCCATGTTTGCCAACCTGCCCATCGGCCTGCCCTACTCTGCCTCCTTCAAACGCTATCATCTGGACCATCATCGCTACCTTGGTGGAGACGGTGTAGATGTAGACATCCCTACTGAGTTTGAAGGCTGGTTCTTCTGCACACGCTTCCGCAAGTTCATCTGGATTATTCTGCAGCCACTTTTCTATGCCGTCCGGCCTCTCTGCATCAACCCCAAACCCATCACTCAGCTGGAAGTGACCAACCTGGCAATCCAGCTCACCTTTAACATCCTGCTCTACTGGGTGTGGGGGGCCAAGCCTGTGGTCTACATGATGGCTGGTTCCTTGTTGGGGATGGGGTTGCACCCCATCTCCGGTCACTTCATTGCTGAGCACTACATGTTCCTCAAGGGCCATGAGACCTACTCCTACTATGGATCCCTCAACCTGCTCACCTTCAACGTGGGCTACCACAATGAGCACCATGACTTTCCCAGCATCCCAGGATGCAGACTGCCTATGGTTAGTACATTGGGTGACTCTGTCAGCCACAGTTCGCACACTTTTCAATCAGACCACAATTTCAACTGCATTTCCATGAGCTAAGAAAGGAAGAAATCAGTGGGGTGGAAACAAGTCTGTCTAGGTAGGCAGCTTATGTATGTCAGATACAGTATGTGCAAGCATGTTTCTGTGTGATAATGACGTTTCACGCAAATGTGTGTTATATGTTAACTTAATTGAACTAACTGTGTTGCTGTTAAAATGGTTACTTTAATTAGGTTAGTAGTTATTAATTAATCACTGTCCACAATGTGGAAATTGTCTTTGTCTTCTTAACATCAACAGACAAGACAAACAAGACAAAGACTTGTAGAAGCCCATCCACTAAGACAAAGGGAGCTATGGGTTGTAATATTGAGCTAATAAAGAAAATTTGTTGCAGTAAGTGTCAAACAAGACCAGCATACGTTTTTAAGTCATTATCAAAGAAAGTGCATTTGGTAAGGCGAAGTGCTCAGAGATTTCCTGGAGACAGGTCAGTCAGAACCAGATCAGCAGCGTGTGATGAAAAGCATTCACAGGCTGTTTACAGTGTCATGTGAAGGCAGCATTCTGTAATGTTTGTACTCCTTTTTGGTTTCTAGGTGAAGAAAATAGCAGCTGAGTATTATGACGACCTGCCTCAGTACACATCATGGGTGAAGGTCCTGTACGACTTCATCATGGACGACGCATTGAGCCCGTACTCTCGAGTCAAGAGGAAGCTGAAGGGTGACGTCAAACAGGAGTAACTTCCCTGAAAGCAGCAGTTTCCACCATGACACCAGCACAGCTCACCGTCCTATTAACTTAACAGCTTCTGCGGATTAATACATTCAACATGTGAAATCATGGTGGCTATTGTATACATGAGTCTTGGCGTGTGTGTTTGCTCCAGAGGAATGGGCAATGGTTTCAGGCATTTGTTATCCAGGTAAGAAAAAAACCAAGAGAAGTGGTGTGAGATTAAAAATGTAAAAGGGGGGACTGACTGCACAAAGACTTCACCTTAAAATAGACTTATTTAATCTTATTAACCGTACATATATAAGGGCTAGGCAATTAACCAAAAATGTATTGAAACCGAAATTTGTCTCATTAGTGAAACAGTAGGAAAAAGTTTGTCAAAGGTGTAACTGGATCCTAAAACCTCATTACTCACTGCATGCCAGTGAGTAACCACTAGTCAGCATTTGCAGTGGACGTAGGCTGGCCGAACTTAGAAGTCTTTGTGCACCCAGCCCCTGAACATAAAGATTGACAAACAGTCAATGATAAACTCACACATTATTGTACCATTTACATACAAGGTGACAAACCACTCCCAATGGTTTCTACGTTCAACGTTGTGCAACAAACATGAATTGTATAAAATCAAATGACCCAGGATACCTTCTTCCTATTTTGGACCAAAGTTGAACTACCCCCCTTTTGAATTGATCTGTCACAGAATTCTGCTGTTTTATTTCTTGTTTGTGTTTTGAGCCCCCCCACCCCCCAATTTCCCTACTTTTTAACCTGCAACATTTTAATGCACCACAACATGATATAACCTGTCATTCGTCCATGCAACTTGTGAATGAAACGGTCAGGAGAAGAGACAGTTTGAGGTTGTATTTGCATATGAGATGACAGTGTGTTATCATTAGTGCCTCAGAGCTTTGTTTGTCTTAATTTCCATTTTATGAATTAATTCATGTTGATGAAAATTTGTATGCCAAGAAGTATTTAATGTTAAAATTGCTGGGCTTTATCTCTTTTTTCCCACGTCATCCTGTTTTCTTATGAGGAGGTTCAGGGCACCTGAAGTCATGTCCTCTGTGTGTCATGAAGAGGAACTAGAGGTTTTTGGAAGATTCAGCAAACAGCTGCTTATCAGTGGTTCACCCCCTCCAAACTGTCTGTCCTCCAAGTTAACCTCTGAGCGCTTTAGAAAAGCACCAATTGGTGTCATGTAGCTGCACTTCACAGTAAATATAAAATTTCTGTCCACATTTATACACAATATAATCCTTTTTAAAGATATTCATTGAATTTCAAAACTGAATTGAACAAAAGGTCACCTAATAAAATACTCCAAGTAAGACTGAGAGATGTTTTTTATCCACATAATGTACACACACCTGTGTGAAGGAGCAAATCACCATCAGCATCAATACAGAACAGCCTTAGTAAATGACCATGTACCGGCTCCAGCTAACAAAGAAAGCATTAATACAGGACACTTATGGACATTATCCATTTCTTCAGTCCTTAGACTGACCTTAGCCATGTCAATTCCTGACCTAGTTCTAAGCCTAAACCAAATCTGAACCATCAATCACTGTCTCAAGTATCAAGGTCATGTTATTATCACTCCTGTTGATCTGCCTTAAAACTACATCATGCTGTATGTTCTGCTTGGAGAGGACGCCATAGCCAAATGTATAAATAAGACGTAGGTTAAGAATAGATCTTACTCAACCAAGGATTGGTTCTCAATTCTGGATCACATCACATGTCATTTTTAGGTTTAGTTTTTAGACCTACTTGAAACTTTAGTGTAACCAGCACCATGATTATGTTCAGTTTATGTTCCTGCTGTGTATGCTGGGATATTTCTTCAGATTCAACTTCTACAATCTGCAGATTGGTTTTCAACACAATATGACCCACGTTTTAAACTCCTCTATCCAATGTTACTGTGGCCTTTCTGTGTGTAATGCATTTGTAATCTTTAGTCTGCACTAAGTTTGATTGAATTACATAATCAAAGTCAAAGGCATGGTGAGTCACTGGCTGGTATCACTAACACCTGTACATTATCTGCAATATAAGTTGAACTCGTTGTGAGGCTCATAGGTTCCACAGACACCTCCTGCAGATCTGATGCAGACCATTTACCATGATGCATCTGTCACCAACACCTTCCTTCAATTGCGCCACTGAAACAGTCGAGTCATGAAGCTTTAGAAGGATAGAGTATTTCACAATATGAAATTTGACAAGTTGGAAGTTCTTCTGTTAGGACTAGAGTAATAAGTTGTGTGCATCTCAAAAATACAATGTTCTCTTTCATTGCGATTCTTACAGCAGCAAACAAGGTTGATAAAGATGGACAGGTTACATTGTCTACAGGTGAGCCATGGGAGACACAAGCTGGATAATGACAATGACAAGCATGTGTCTCATAACAGAAGTGAAAATAAAATGCAGTGTGTATTTATTACAGCATTTGTGCAGTCATTGAGTGAACTTAGGGTGAGTCAGGCAGTCTGATGGCACTACAGTAGCTCGTGATAAGAACTGAATATTTTATCAGAAAACACACCAGATTTATTTATTTTTGTTTTCCACACACTTTTTATTATTAAAGAAGAAAGCAGTATTCAACTATAGAAAATGTGTATATGACTACTAGCATAATTATGGATAATTAAAAGGGGAACTGCTGGTGAAGTCAGCTGTAGTTATCTGCTGAGGGACTCTCTGAGCTCCTCATATGTCCGTTGATCCTACACAAGAAACAAAGCAAAGGCAGAATCACTGCATGTTTCTGGTTCTCCCACACAAACAAAAGGTGAGCAGCTTCATAGAGAACTAAAGAGGGACGTGCCTCCCCCTAAAGCCCTCACAATGCAGCAGAGTGTTACAGGTGACGTGTCCACCTGACTCCGCCTGTCTGCCAACAGTCCACAGTGCTGCTGTTTAAGTCTTATTCCTGGAACTTAAATGATTATCTTCTGGTAGCATGAAGAGCAACCCTCTGTTTAATGTCACTGTTCTGTGTGGAGACGAGTTGGACTGGTTCTCCAGGCAACTTGATAATGAGGATATGGGGACTGTGATCTGATAGACAATATAGCACAGAGCTGCCTGTAGCCAAGTCAAGTCTCATTTCCCGCAGCATGTGGAAAGGTGCCAGATTAATGGACACACAATGAGCCACTGCATTCCACTGTGAGGTGTTCCTGTACAACAAAACAACCACACAACTGTTCTATAAACATGTAAATCCATGATGTGAGTTCTGACAGGAGAATGGAGCTGCTGACTGAACTTCAACAGTTTTAAGGTACGAACTCAAATGTTTCAAAACCTGGCATCAAATGTCTGCTCTGATTCTTCATCCAAATGAGTTTTAGAAGTGTAAAACTTCTGTTTGGACATTTTTCGAGACTTAGTTTGAACTTGTTTATATTTCTAAGTAATGTGGTGAACTGTGTACAATACAGTAAATAGTCAAAACAAATATCTAAAATATCAAACACTGCCGAACCTTATCAAACCTCATCTAGTTGGCCTGTTGATTACTGTTGATGGCCTTGCAGCGTGCACTATTTAATTTGTACAGGATCAACTATCCCCCATGAAAGGAGCTGGACAGCACAGGATTTCAGAGTTTCTGTACAGCTTCGCAGCTGTAGGTGTTGTGATGTGCTATGCTCCAGAAAAAGAAACATTCACTTTGGATCGTTCAGTTGTGATAAATCAATGAGTCTCATCTAGTGACCATCTGACTCCAGAGAAGATCTGGTGGGGGCACACAGATGCTAGATGAGGCTCAGAGCTCTGAGTCACAACTCATATCTGCAACTTGTTTAGTGATTTAAACTAGTGAGGAAGGCTTAAAATACAAGACACAGATTAGATATAATAACTTAAACAAAACAAATCCAATTCTGTTGATATTTACTTCAGTGAAAATTAATTCAGGTGTTACAGGAATCGCTGACTGATCATTTTCTCACCTTTTTGGACACAGATGGTCTAACTTTCTTGAAGGCATCCTCAAAGTTCTGTTTACTGACTCTGATGTGAGCGACAGACCCAGCGGAGCATGTGTGACCTGTGTGAAACAATGAACAAAATGAAATCACTGGATGCAACTATGTCAAGTTAGCGTGAAACACCATCCTATAAATGGTATGATGCTTTCATGTCATGTGAGAGTTTCCAGTTTCCTCAATAAATGGTTTTCTATCGGGCTGTCAGCACACAGAAGAAACTACTATTCTAAACTTAAGTTGGAGTCAAATCAAGTGCATGCAGGGGCTGTGGTGCATCTTAAGTTGGGGCTGGGAGTCTGGCTACACGAGTCTGGATGAGGTAAACACTTCTAATTTGTTGGACAATTTTATAGATGCCTGTAGTGGCTAAGTGCATTCTTGAGCTTAAACATTGTTTCCATACTCTCAGACTAGTCTAGTCTGTCACACTCAAGGATCTGAGCTGGCGTTCCTGCCCAGTGTTGCTGTCAGTTCTGCAGTCCGCTCCAAACTGAGACCACGACTTCCAAAGGGGGGAAGGAAGCATTGCATGGCTCCAGCTGATCCAAGAGTGAGGCAGTTAGATGTACAAAGAATGAATCCAGTGTTGAATAATGCAGACAGTCACTAAGACACACCGCGTTCAGACATTCAATTTAAGGTTTAAGATTTAAGGTCTGCTTGTTTGTCTACATGTTTAAGCCGTAAACTAAATATACTGTACTGTATCATCCCATCTGAAGACTGAGGGCCTGATCTACTAAGATCCCAAATTGCGTGTGCATTATAAAAGATTGCATGTTTGGTTGGTGGGCATTTTGCTGATGATATACTAAAAATGATTGCTCGAATGATAACAGATGCAAACATGGTAGAGGCAATAGTATTTAAATTAGTGTTTTGCGTGTGTTACTGGTTTCCGTCATGGAACATTATGGAGAGCAGAGATCCCATGCACCGCAAGTGCATAGGATCAATGGAAGAGGCAAACAAACATTTTGTTGAGCTACAGCAAAGAAATATAAATATAACTCAAAGAAACACGATATGGGAGAGCATTGCGTATTAATTAAGGCAAATGTACTAAATGAACAGTGCGCACTGTTAGATCAGCCTGCATAGTTTTTGGCGAGTGAAATCAAGTTTGCACACGTTTCACACGCACAAACAGACCTTAGTGTTTCTGTCCAGGACTGTCTGCCTGAACTCCTAGGATCTTGTTCATGTAACCACTAAACACTCTACATTTAAACATTTATGCAAACGCACATTAATATCAGACTTGATGGTGTAACAATGTGCATGAGTATTAAGTTTTTAATATGCTCTCATTTTTCCTTGGGATGTATTCCTATAAGCCAGAAGTTATATAACAGGCAACTCTGCGTTCTGTGAATAAAAAGAATCAACCCAACCCCCAGTGCACACAATTAATTTGTTTTGTGTTGTACACCAAAATGACTTATATGAAAAGAAGCATTAATGTATAAATCATGAACCATTCACAACATTGTACTCCCACGTGTCAAACTGCGCCTCTAACACCAGCAGAGCTCAACAGTGAAGTGAAACCATGGGAATTCTTGCTGATCACTGATTTTAGTCCCACATGACAGTTCAGTCCCATCGTTAAACATCAACATAGTGCAGGTATGCAGAGGTAAGAGTCAGGTTACCAGAGGAGGAAGCTGGAGGATTCTGGCACTTGAGGTAGGCCCTCAGGGCATTAACAGATGCTTCTCTCACTAATGCAGTCAGGTCAGCCCCACTGGATCAAACACACAGAAACACATATTTACACTCTGGATCACACTCATGGATCAATGTCTCAATTTTTCATCATTTTCAGTGTTGGCAAGAGAACTGACACTGCAACTTGAGAATCCAGTTTAAGTATAAATACATGCAAGTGTCAGTCGGTGTTTCCAGCTGGGACTTACGTAAAGCAATCACAGCGCTTATCAAAGGAGATCTCTTCAAGACTGACATCCTGCTCCAGTTGAGGTTTGGTCCCCCCCTGCAACAATCATCAACATCTCTCAGTTCTGACTCATTGGAGAAGGTCAGCATTCAAAGATGGTCTGTGGTGGGGTTAGTTTAGCTTAGCACAAAGACTGAATGCAAGGGGAAATAACTAGCCTAGCCATTTAAAAAAGCAATACCTTAATACATCCTAGTAACACAAGCTTGTTGTAGAGTTGTTTTTCTAGTTGACTGCTGCATGGCCGTTTATTATGTCAATCAAAACACTGGCATCAGGTCTAAGACTCCTTAGTTACTATCAAATTTCAGAAAAACTATTTCCATGTGGTATTTCAAACCCTGTAGTAGATGGGGTGATCCCTCTTACACAACAAAGAGGTGAAATTAAACATCACATGAAATTCCACCAGAAGCTGTAAGAGGTAACATGGATTAAGTTTCTAAAAGAGGCTGATCAGTGGATAGAGACATCACTTACTAGAAAACTAGTTCAAAAAGCTGCCTGACAAACTGACAACATGGCCAGTGTATGACTCACATTTTATTCCAAACAAAACTGGTTTTGAATTAACTTTCTTTGGTGATGAAACATTAATTCAATTCAGTTTTATTTGTATAGTGCCAAATCATAACATACATTATCTCAAGGCACTTTACATAGTAAGGTCAGTTCCTTTTTGCAGGCATTTCAAAGTAATCTTACTGGGATATAAATCTGAACAATTATCTCTTACCCCTTTTTCTCCAGTCACCCCACCAGGCAGGGCATTGAGTCTGGTTCTGCTAGAGGTGTCTTAATGAGGGAGTTTTTTCTCCACAGTCGCCAAAGTGCTTGTTCATTGTGAGAACTGTTGTTTTCTCTATAATTCTCTATAAAGTCTCGACCTTACAATGTAAAGTGCCGGTTGTGGCAGACTTTTTTTCCCCTCCATGGTCAATAAAGTGTTTCCTCAATGTGGTAACTGTATTCACCTTAGTAATAGTAAGCAGGATGGCATGGCGGTCTGTTGGAGGTGGCAGGCCCACATACAGGGTTTTATCTAAGCGACCTGGCCTCAGAATGGCAGGGTCAATAATATCTGGAAAGAGACAAAGCAGCAACAGTCATTGAGTGTTTAGAAGATCATTGAATTATGGTTTTAGTTACAAATCCTTGATAGAGGTAGAAAAAAACTACTAATAAATAAAATTAAAAT